TGCAATTCCCACTGATGCATGGCAGAGCAGTCATCTTTTAAAGCTGTTTTAACACATCATGCCCAGTGTCTGGGCTGAAGCTGCAGCTCTCCCTTGAGGCAGCAGAAGCATTTACCTCTCACACAGCTGCTGCTTTCTGTTTACAAGCAACTGAAGGGCAGAGGGGAAAAGAGCAGTAAGGAGCTGGAGATGTGTCATGAAGACTAGGCTGTCCCTTGGGTCCCTTCCCACGGTACCTTCTGCCTCCTATGAATGCCAAAGTTTGCAGTGGCTGAGCTCAGGAAGAAACAACCCACAAGTTTCACACGTCAGGAAATTCCAGGTTTACACAGGCTGCTAGAAAATACATACAACACAATAATCAGATTTGTTTTATTAAAAAAACTTGCAATAAAATTCCTTGGAATTCACCGTCTTAACTTTAAGAGTTGTAATATTTTACTAGTACGTAATAACACAGTCTCACATATTTACATTATAATCCTCTATATAACAAAAATAGCCATGTTGGACTACTGAATAATGCTTCCAAGTATTAGCCACAACATTTTGGTATTTCCCCCAGCTGAGTCACTGTCTGTGCTCTTTAGCATTTACAGTATCTAACAAAGCAAGGACACAAAATAATAAAAAGTATGTCTCATGATTTCAAATCCCTTTAAGATGGTAGTTCTCTGACTCCCACATTTTTCAAGAGAGATAAAGTGCATTGGAGAGGAAGATGTATACGTTACAAAATGTCAGTGAAGAGTTAAAAGTTTATTTGCAAGACTGTACAGAAGGGAAAAAAGGCCAAAAAATAATCTTCACAAACTGCTACTGCACAGTTTTGGCAGCATGTCATAGGTAGCAGGGAGAAGGAGGGAATGAAAAAGACAAGAAGAAGCATGGCCCAGGCAAATGCCACAGTGTGACTTTGCCATGGCCTTTTGGTAGGTGTTTCCCAAACCAAAGCTTCAACACAGCTAGAGCCACAGTGCAGGAGTGTAACAACCCTGCACAGCCTCAGCTTGCTGAGGCTGGTGAGTCTGCCAGGCAGGGACAGACAGCTGAAGCCTCCCAGTAAATCTGATCCTGCTGTCCAGAGGATTGATTACTTTGGAGAATTTCACTGGGACAGGCCATTGTCTCTGAACTTAAGGAAGTTTTTTCATTAAGCTCTGCATTAATCCATGTGGTATTTATTTAGTTTGGGATTTTTATTCCTTTTTTAACACTTGCATTTGCTGGTAGGCCTCTGCTGTGAGAAGAGACATGGCTAGAAAAATCCTTTTAGCCATCATGGAAACCAGGATACTGCTGCTATGTTCAGGAACTGCATACAACTGGGATTCCACATTTTTTTTTTTTTGTTTGCTTATAAACTACTCTAAATAGAAATAATTCTCTTCTGGAAATGGATGGAATGTATATTTTGACAAGTACAAAACTCTTTTAAATGTTCACTAAATACAAGGAACATCTTGGTATAAAAATAACAGACCCTCCCACCCACTGTCCCCTCTTTACATATCTAATTATAAAACGGTACAGTCATTTCAGGTTCCTAACATGAAACAAGTACTGAGGATGGCATTACATACATATACAAAACATTTAGATATTTGACATCTGAAATAACTGTATACATTCAGAGCAAACAAGCATCTTGATCTGGCTATTGTGTTTAATGCTGCTCAGGACCAAAGAATCAAGAAATAAACAAGAAAGGGAAAACACTATTGCTCCTTTTTTTCCTCCCATTTCTTTTTCCATTCATTACAGAAAGAAGTAATTTCCACCAATTCACAATTAAAATACTTGAGAGAGACAAGATTAAATTCAGATGGAAAAAACATCCGTTGGCTTTTCATTCAAAATCCACATCTTTAATTTCTTTATTTCTCCCTTTGAAATACAGCTCCTGCTTAGAAGGATGTTTCCTTGAAAAAGAAATGGGCAGATAAATGGGCCAAGTGGCAGCCCTCACCCTTGCCCTCACTCTCCCAACCCACAGCTACCAACTGCTTCACAAACAAATCCTCCCTGAACAGTCCATCTAGCATTCCTCATTCTCAGATGCTATCAATTAGTTCAGAAAACAGCTTGGTAAAATGAAAGTAGTGCTTACTTTGGATCAATTTCCCCTATTTAAGAAGCCTGCGAAGGCAACACCTACAGCTTCATTTTCCCTCAAGCCTAAAATACACCACATTGTGTTTGCCACTCATGCTAACCAAGCCGATTCACTGCCATCATTCTGCCTGCCCTAAATACACTGACACATTTTGCATCTGCAAAACAAATGAGCCCACATGGGCTCAGTGTTCATCAACAAAGTTCCAATCCCAGGGTCAACATTGGCCACGAAGAAGCTTGGCTGTCCCGAACCTGCTGAAATCCCATGGCCTGCTTTTCACCAAGCCCTGGAGCTGAACTTGGGCTAGCTCCTTTCCCTTCTCCAACCTGCTCCAAGAGATATGGCAGCACAAAACACAGGAGAGGAAGCAGCTCTGTGCTTTGATTGCCTTTTATTTGAAATGCTACGTTGATCCTATGATCTCCTTCCACTGCAACAAAGGCTCCCTCTTGGAAAAACACTTGTGAGATGGCCTGGGAAGGAACAGGCTGGATTTCTTTACCATTTTAGTCCTGCAAAATGGATGCACCCCAACAGCAATGCCCTTCTTTCAATGACTCCCTTGGGATTTGATCCAGGAATCATTAGTAAGATCCAAGAGACTACTTATCATATGTGATTTCAAGAATTTAGCCTCTATAAAGCCTTTTTCTTTAGTGCCACAATCTTCCTCAAATAAATGGCCTAAAAATGATAACTGCTTCTGATTTCACAACAGTACAGTTTCCATACTCACATCAATGCACTTTTATATGCATAGATGTCAATTTAATTCTAGAGTGCTTAAAGAATGAACTGCAGTGATAGGATGATAGTCCTGATCCTGGTTTTGAGGCTCTAAAGCAGTCAGAAAATAAAAAAACCCAGACCCTCAGAAAGTGCCAGATCTGTATCCTCAGCAGAACAGGTGAGCTGTGAGGAGGGGATGTAGACCTCATGCCTTGCACATCTGCATGCATACATCAGGTTGCTTGTGAGTGCAAAATTCTGCCTGTATAACTTTCTATGCATCCTAACTATGGAACAGACCTTTGGGAAGGCAGCTTAGTGAAACCCAAAAAATCCAAGTATACTCTGAGTGCAGTTTCTGTCTCACCAAGTTTCATCCTGCAGCCCAGCCTGAGTGATGATGAACCTCACTAAGGCAAATGCTTTTCCCACCTACTACTTGCTCATAGAAAAGTGCTTCAGATGACAAGATGGGAATTGCTGGGAGAGGCACAGGATCAACTTAATGACAGGAGTGCCTTTTCTTGGGAGCCATACAATCCCCTGGCCACTGCCCCTGTGCAGGAGATGCCCCCCCCAACCCAGTCATGGCGCCAGCCTGCAGAATTGTATCTGTGAACACTTGCTTGTCAGAGGGCTCTAGAGGATTTTGTTCTTTCCTGGATGCATGCTAAAGGCTGCTCTCCCTTCTGAACAGCCAGTACTGTGTCCCAGCAGCTGAACCCCACCTACTTAATGCCCAAACTTAGTGGGCAGCAGTACCAAGGTGTGCATGGGCATGCAGATATACAGAATTAAGGCTTTCATACATGTTACAAACACACATGAGGGGGTCTTAATGTTTATAAAGCACTTCAAATTCCCAAGGTAGTTCACAGGTTATATATGCAAAGCACATTGTCAGTCAGGTCAGGCTTCAGGAAAACATTTCCTTTTGACACAGGTGCTTAATTGTGCTCATAGAAGACCTGTTGAAAATAATGCAATTTTAGTGCAAGTCCAAAAATAATCATAAGTGGGTTTTTTTTAGAAGGACAGAATAAAACATTTACTTAAGTGCTTTCCTAAGTTCAGGCTTCAGTGATGTGTAACCTGGCTTTGCTCTCATCATCACTTAACTGCTCAGAGCTGCAGAACACCTGAGGACAGGGATGGAACAACATCTTTCCTAAGTGAACCTGCAGGTAGAACTGGGAAAGCAAAAGCAGAAAGACTCCTGACTCAGATTTGCTAGGATGCTTCTACTAAAAGGCATATCACTTATTGGTGATATGCCAAAACCACTCGCCCAGCCTGGCACCCTGCCTCTTCCAGTGGCCACCTGTGGACCCTGAAGGACCAAATCTAATTATGGGATATTTAGCGTGTGCTAAAAAAAAGCGTGTGCACAGTGCGAGACCTCTACAAAGCTCTTCATTAACTCTCAGAAATATGTGCAGGGTCCGAATTACCAAATCTGTGATGCCTTTTTGAGCACACCTCCCTTTAATGACTTTTCTAGGCAAAGGACCCAGCTCAGTGTCAGCTGGAAGTTTCCCTTCTTGCATGTGCATTGTCCTGTGACATGTAGCACCCAGGCTCCAGTGGAAGAAATTGTACCAGTGTGTGGACTTTCTGTAAGGAGCCCTTACTGTATATAACCAGCCTCACTCCTTCCTCTGCAGTAGTTTGAAATGAATTTCATTCCTGGGTCAACATTTGATATAAGCACCACTTAAATCCCATTTCAGCATTATTTACAGAGCTTAAATGGAACTGATGCAGTACCTAGTGCAAACTTTCATGTGTAGGGGTCAATTTCAACATTGATGTGTCAGGTCTTTCCCATAGCAGCAAGAAATAGAGAAGACATAAAAGAATAAGGAAAACAAGATTACAGAACCACAAATATTGTCAAGACTGACCTAGTGTACCCTCTGGAACAGTCTGTAATTTTCTTTTTAAACCAAAATTTCCAGCTGCCTCTATCTCTTTAATTGAAAAAAGATTTTCATTTCAATGGTTTTTAAAGATGTAACTGCACCTTTATGGGTAATTTTCATAGAACCACAGAATGGCTTGGGTTGGAAGGGACCTTAAAGATCATCTAGTTCCAAACCCTCTGCCATGGCCAGAGACATCTTTCCCCAGACCAGGTTACTCAGAGCTCCATCCAAACTGGCCTTGAACACTTTCAGGGATGGGGCATCTACAGCTTCTCTGGCCAATCTCTTCCAGTGCCTCATCATCATCACAGTAATAACTTATTTCTAATCTCTAATCTAAATCTGCCCTCTGTCAGTTTAAAACCTTTACCTCAAGATTACCCTGCAATTTAGGGACACAAAACATAAACTAAAACTAAACTAAATATTTAATTAGTTCTAAATGGACAAAAGAGCATGGAGAGTATTATTTCCTTCTTTCTATACTAAAAAAGAAAGTCAGCCAAAATTTTAGGGGTAGTTCTGAACATATTTGTTCCTGAATAAAATCTGAGAAATTTTGTCTGGAAGCTGGTTTTCAGATTTGACAAGTAAATCAGCAAGGAGATTAAATGCAATGAGCCCTAACAGTTGCATTTTGAGACCCCACCATGACAGTGCCTAGTCAAAATGTTTGACCTCTGCATGAAATTTCATGCAGAGTTGTTGATTCTGTGTTCAACATCCACATGTTGATTCTGTGGACTGACTCAGGAGACAGTAACATGATTCAAATCATCTGACTCTCAATGGAAACTATGTACTCTTGTGTAACAGTAAGCTTCTTCACAGCTGAGTATTTTGACTGAAAAACCAAATCATACACTGAACAATTAACTTTCTTACCTGGAAAGCAGAGCTCAGGATGAAATAAATTATTATGTCAGGTCATTATTATTTAGGTGTTTTGATTTATGTTCTTTTATTTTCAAATTCCCTTCCCATTATATTTTGGTATATGCATCTGTATACAAATTGCAAATATTCCATTATGCTTCTGACAACATTGACAGGGACTCTGGAGGGCAACAAACCACCTGAACTTTTGTTAGATAACAAGCAGACAAAAACTGCTGTCAAAAAGTAAGAAATGAAACCCACTGAGGGAAAAGACCCAAAGCAAACCAGGAATTAAACACTTCAAACAACTGCCTTTTGCTCCCTTACCAATTTGTGACACTGATAGCAGAATCTCCAGACCCTTTGTAAGAATACTGTCACCCGCTTAATGCAGAACTGTTAATAGGCAGCCTCTGGAAACCTCTCAGATGCTCCTTTAGCCCACTGATCTGCTTTTGGTCTGTAATATTAAGGAAAGAAATGATGTTACGCTAGATCTTTTTTTCCAGGTACTGAATTGTCACTTGAAGGAAGGACACTAATGTACTGACACCCGTGAACAGCATAAAATACAGGACAGGACTACATGGATGGAGTGATGTTTTAAGCTTTTCTTTCTCTCCTTCACACTGCCCAATACTTGTCTAGAACAGAGCTCTAAGTAAAAGACAAACTAATGTAATTTTAACCCAAATTTCAGCTAATTCAGAGCTCTCTTACAAATAAAAGCCTTCAGAATATACTACTTCCAAGCTTTCCACTTAATGAAAGCAGGTGTTACATTAATGCAGGGTGCTGGTGCATCATTCTTCTGAAGCCAGCCACATGTAATTCATGCAGAAACAACAAAGCAATGATAAATCCTGGTCAGGTCATGAAGTGACCAGTGAACAGGTTCAGATTTCTGGACTGAACTCTTGAAAAAGCTGGGATCAGTCAGTAAAAACAGAGTGTCCAATCATAACAAACTATAAACAAACAAACAAACAAATAAAATAAACATATGCCTTTTCAAAAACCCAACAAAAATTTGATTGAACAAGTGTAGAAAACACTCAAGTTGTCATTACAGTTGCAATGACAGTTCCCTGGACAGTTCCATGACTGCTCTCAAGCACATGGGTAAACTGGAAGTATCCATCTCCAATGTGAACCAAACGAAGGTGTGTAGATGATGAAACCACATCCAGGCAGATACAACAGTTGCTATTGCTTTTCATTACCATCTCAGTATGGAGTGTGCAGGAGTGACAGTGCTCTGGAGGCATGTGCATGACTGGTCCAAATCCTAGAAAGCTGACTGAGTCCCTGCCTGTGACCCTCCCCTGTAGTTTAGTGTTGAATCTCTGTTTTTCAAGATTTCACCTCTTCGCAGTCTTGATCAGTGGAGAGCTCCACATCGGACAGTCCAACCTCCATTGCCATAATCAATGAAATATCTGAATCACTGCTGACTGCTGGCTCCTGTTCATCTGTGAGGGTAGAAAAGACAGGAAAAGGTCATGTCTTTCTGTTAATATATTACTAATTTTTAGTTCTGCAGGTGGAACCCAGAGTTCCTTCCACTATTGATATTGTGATTAGATTACAAACTTTGTTCTTACTCATTATCTGTCTAAAACACTTCAAAAATATCCCAAAATTCAAGACATTCATAGTAAAAAACATGATAAAAAGGAGCCTGGATGGGTAACATTTTCTTCTCTTAATCCTCCCATCCAGAGCTCTTCATCCAGGTCCTTCATGAACTTCCTCCCACCACCTGAGAATTGCCCTCCCTGTCTACTTTCATTTCCTCAACCTGGCATCATCCTACTCTCCCCACAAATATAGCAGGTTAATGACAAAGCCACAGGCACCTGGCAGAGCAATTCAGTCATCAGGAAAACATTCCTAACAGAAAAAAATCTGCCCAAACTCTCAGTAAGTGATAGAATTTCAGAGAACATTTTTAAGAGGGCACTAGTCTAATGTAGGAACATAGGCATTGGACCAGGACAAAACAAATCCAGGACTTTGGACTAGGCTACCTGCCTTCTCAAGTGGCTTCTCTTGTCCTTTTCTAGTCTCTTTAAATTCACTCTTTCCTCTGATTTGAAGATACCTTGCAGGTTCTTGATCCAGGCCGAAGGGATCTACCTTGATGCACCATGACCCCAAATTCACTGTGAGTTGTACTGTTGACTTCTGCCAAGCTGCAAATCACATTGTAGGAAGAGCAACTTGTTTTTGTTTTGATCCCACAGCACTTACCATGTGTATATTTAGCAGCAAATAAAACCAACAGATTTTAAAGGACTAAAAGCTAATTTCTTCCAGGAACAATCAGGGAAGCAGAGCACACTAGGGAGATTTTCAAAGGCACAAAACTTTCATAGGTGGCTGAGTCCCTGACAGAAAAATTTGATGGTTCATATTTTCAAGTGGTTTAATTACAAAGATGGTATTTATACTGTAACAATACAATGTATGTAAATTTGTGGCAGTTTTTCATTTATATATTTTATTTTTCAGACAATAGAAGCAGAGCCTGATTGATGCTAAAAAGTCTAGAAGTTGAATATCTAAGAATTAATAAGTAAGAAACATGACAGAGGAACCAGGAAAATAATAACTCCTCACAGTATAATTATTCACTTGAAGCTGAGTGAACACAATTAGTCACCTCTCAAGAGCACCATGATTTTTATAGGAAAAACCTCTATATGTGTTTACTTGTGCTGGGATTAGACCTCATGTTCTGCAGAGAAAGCTTGAATGGGATCTGCTTTATTCATACTGAAAGAGACAGTGTTTTCCTTTGCAATTCTTCCCAGTTTTCACCCTGGATTACTTTTATACTTGGTTGCAAGATAAATAATTAACACACAAACATCTTTATATCTCTATCTTTTTTTTTTTTTTCCCTTTCAGCATGACATTAGTAAACATTTCAAGGCATTGTTTCTGACCATAAATGTTTCCACCAGAGGCAGAGGAAGTATTTACAAGCTGAATGATACATCCTGCAGACTTCAGTGGTCTTCAATGACATTGAACCTTCAGGTGAGCTACTAGATCCTAGAGTACATCAGAGTATCTCACACACCTCCAGCACCTAAAATCTTTAGTGGTAACAGATCCCTGAGTCAGAATAATGTGGTTTTAGACCAGTGGATTATTTATCATTCCTCTATAATTAATAGGATTCTTAAAAACAATTAAAATTATGCTTAAGAGCAAGTTTATATTTGCAAGACAGGGTTCCTGAGGTGTAGCCATGTTGAACAGCCACTTGGAGCACTCTTGAGAGCTAAGGTGTTTTCCATTTGAACTAGCTGTGCAGAAGAAAAGGACTGGCTGAATAGTGACAGCCGGATGCATGCTGAAGAGGCAGGCAGAGCTGCCAACACCAAATGTCAGAGCATCAAACAAGCAGCATTTAATAATGCGGAAATGTCATTTCAAGAATTGTTGTTTCTTCCAGGGTTGAACAGCAGAAAAAATTTTCAACTGCTTTCAAGACAGGCAGATAGAACAGGACCAGATTTTCAGCTCACCTACCTAATATCTGATGGAGGTACAGCGGCACACACTCTCCAAACCAGCAAACTCGAGTTTTATTTTACAAGTCCTATACAATTATTTAAATTCTTGGATCTTAGTCTTTGCAAAGTGTGGGCTTTGTAGTTTGTCTTCTTTGGAACTGAAGTGCAGGTCAGCAGGTACAAGGAACAATGCTAAAAATGCCCATGCCTAAGCTCTGGCATTGCTTTTCCAGCACTGTGATAGTGCCTAGAAACAGAAGCATTCCACCTTCCTTGCTTGCCACCAGTGCAGCAGTTCAAAATCCTAAAGCTACAGCTTTGGCAGAGTGGGGAGAACATCACCATTCTTATACCTTCCCTTTCAGGGAAGCACTGACATTTATTTGGAAGCTGTAGGCAACATAAGGAAATTAATGTATCCCTCAGCATTAGCTGCTGGCTCCTGTAAACAGGAGTCCTGCTACTGACCCCAACACACACAGGATGAAACTCTGGGAGGCTGCATAAGACACAGATCAGCTGTAGGTAACTCTGTCTGCAAGGTCTACAAACTGCCTCACCACGGCTCCCCCACACAACACAGGCTTGCCAGACTGTGCTGGTTTGTTTTATTGCTCTTTTTTTGGCTTGCTGCTCAATAATAAAAGCCAGCACAGTTACTGTTATTTGTAAAAGGTAAGCAAACCTCAACTACACTGCAAGTGCCAGGAGCTTAGCCTGCATTTTGCATCCATGCCTTTCAGATCCTATTTACAATGACAAAGCTTATACAATCACACAGCTTTTACAGAAGATGCCTGACTCACTCTAAACCATCTTTATGACCCTTTTGCAAGATTTTTGTAATTTGCTGTTTTTCTTAAAGCCCTGAAGTCAGACGAGGAGCTCAACTTTCAGTGAAGATCTCAGCTTTCACTTAAAAATAAATGAAGCTTAAGAGGCAAAAAGGAAACAAAGTGTTTTAAAAATTAAATCTCTATTTTCTAGACAGATTTTGTGTTGGAATATCTGACCTGTGAATTTAGATATTTGAAACTGGCAACCCTGTCTAACCACACATACTTTAATACTTCCACTGTGTTTTAAAGTGCTTCTTACCATGAGCAGAAAGCCTTTTGCTTAATGAAGCAAAAGGCACATCCTAAGCTGCTTTCCAGACATTGTAGTACCTACAGCAGGGAACTGTAGACCTCCCTGCCACATTCCTCTCGCATCAGTGAAACATAATACACCACAGCATGCTGCTTGTCCAGACAGACTTCTTCCACTCACTTGTATTTCCTGACACACATTCTTTTGAGAGGTGAAATTAACCAAACTCCTTTTCTAGCCAGTATTATTTTAACTCAATTACACTAGCATGGGAAGAATATCACCACATAGATTTCGAAGTGACCTACACAAAGGTGGTACAGCCCTTACTTCTTGAAAAGTGCATCAAGTGATGCTTATATTTGAATATTACTGCAATCAAACAAGGATGAAAATAACTGATTACCCTAGTGATTTGAAAACAGTAAGATTGCACGCTAGTAGTAGTTATCTACTGCTGCTGCTATTCAAAACAATTGGTATAAGTCTGTAGCTGTTGTACACTAATAAATATTCCAAAAGAAGGAGGTCAGACAATGGGTTTCTAAGAATTTGATACTGCTTGCAAGAGGCTTGGGAGGGAGCTAAGCATTGAACAGTGAGTGAAAAGTGCATTTATAAACCTATTCCTCTGCCAAGCATACAGGCATGGGCACCAGCTGAGATATACTTGCCATGACTCACTCAAAGGTGAGAAACAAGCTGATGAAACTCTGTGGACTTTGCACTCAGGCCTCACTCCTGCTCACCAGTGTGCTCTTCCCAAGGAGGCCATATCCCATAACATCATTTGATGTCCCTAGGACACGGACAGTGCCATGGGGTTCTCCTAAAACTTCTCCAGCTTGCCTCAGAGGCTGAGATTTCCCCCAAGCTCACTGAGCTGTAAAAGCTGTAAAAGCCTGGGCTCAAATGTCAATAAGCAATTTGTATCCAGGAAATCAGCAGAAAAATGAGACCACACTAAAATGTTAACAACAAAAGTTTCTTGGCATTAAATATATATGTAAGTTTTGTCTAAGATGGCATTTCTTTCCTTCTCTGGACCTTTGAGTAGCTCTCTGCTATTACACCCATTTAAGAATAAGCAGAGAAGTACTACTACTCATTTCACATCCTCACTGCGGTGAAATATACCTTATTTCACAACTCCTCAGTTTGTGAAGACAGATTTAAAAAAAAACATGAAATCCCTGGTATTAGTTATGCTCCCAGATCTAGATAAGTATCTAAAATGCATGCATTACCATGAACCTTATTCCAGTCTAGGGCTCACTTCTTCTAAGGAAACATTCAGTTATGTCCAGAAGGATTTTGCTTCGTAAGAAATCAGAAATGTGACCATCTCCTAGAGCTTTGAGGACCTGATCAGAAAATATATTCAGAGTCACTAGAGGCACTGATACGGATCTTTATCAAACACATTCTGCTCAGCTTGAAGCCACAGAAGAATGCCAATGCAAGCAGTACTATTCAGATTTTGTTTCCAGTATAAGAACAACCAGGATACAATTCATCACATTTGATTTCTATGAGACATAACTAGAGTACTCTATTTTTCTTTGTCTGCCTAAGAATGCACTACACCATTACAGAGTTTATTGTTGCCTTCTACTATGGCCTTGCCATTGCATCACTTTGCTGTTTATAGTCTAAGAGGAAGAACATCTTATGAAATTATTACCTCAAATGGCAACTCTGTTCACAACAATACCAATTACATCTACCACAAAGACCCATCTTTTAAAAATATTACTGATTGTTAAAATTATTCTTAAGTTAATAATCTCATACTTCTACCCGGATCATTTTATAAGTCTCAAATTCCTTCCATATAATCTTGAGAATTGTAA